GAGGCCGCGAAAGCAAGGACGTGTGAAGGGGTGTACACTCCTCAGTAATTGGAAATTGCCTTTTTTTCAGCGATAAGGGTCGACTTTCTGTACATTTGACGCTTTTGTTTTGCGAAATTTTCTTTCAAATATTCCATTTACACCTCCTAAAATTGCTTAAATCCCCAATCTTAGATCTGTCGCGCGGCCACTGATTCGGTATTCAAGTTTTCATCTATTTTAGTCCTTATATATAAAGGAATGATACTCATAGTTTAAATTTATTGCATCAAAATTTTTTTTTCTCTTTTTAGTTTATTATTTATCATAAATTTTGACAATATTTGCTTCATTAAAATAAATCAATTAACATCTTGTATTCATTACCTAACGAGGGAGGGTCCCCAGGTGTTATCGTCCGTTTCGAATTTTGTATTTGCCATTTTGTAGAGCTCAGTGAGTTCAACGTCTGACACAAAGAGTTCGACCACGTACTGGAGTTTTAAGGAATTACGAGGTACCATAGAGGGTGTCCTATAAGAACTGTGGATAAATAGTTAATGGTATTTTTCATACTTTGTCTCGATGTAGAGAGCTGAAACTTTTACAAACAAAAGAACTTGATCAGATATATATATGTGATAAAATTTCCAGCCCTCTACATCGAGACAAAGTATGAAAAACATCATTAACAATTTATCCAAAGTTCTTATAGGACATTCTCTATAGTACCTCGTAATTCCTTAAAACTCCAGTACGGGGTCGAACTCTTTGTGTCACATGTTGCACTCACTGAGCTCTACAAAATGGCAAATACCAAATTCGAAACGAACGGTAACATCTGAGACCTTCCCTCGTAAGTAGATTGGTATATTTAATAGAAAGATGCAAATCTTTTTTTGTCAAGTCATTTATGGAGAAAAATTTTAACGAAAATCATTTGTTGGTCTGCAAATATCGATACAGAGCAAGTATTCGAATCGCATTGGTCTGAAACTAGTTATTTTCTCAAAAGTTTGTTTTTTCAAAACACAAAAAACGAACATTTTTATGTCTAACAGCATGCTTTTTTAATTTTATCTGATCGGAATAATTTTCTTGATTACAGTTAAAATTTCAATAAAATTACTAAAAATCCACTTACCTACGTTGTTGTTTTTTCTATTTATTGCTCTTAAATTGATTTAGAATTTGATTGAATTGTTTCTGAGAAAAATGAAAAACTTGCTATAGATGGCGCCACATTTTTTAATAATTTTCTCTGTTCTGAAATCATTGATAAAGACCCAAAACAAAATTCAAATCATTAAATAGCAAAATGAAAGAATTTTTCAGTGAAATTTCAATAAAATCGAATGGATGTATATGTTGAAGTGCATATTTTGTTCGAATCATACATCTTTTGTTGAATAAAAATATGCTCTCTCAAGTGACGATCAAATAATCTCAGAACAATTTAAAATGAGAATTTTTGTTTCGATACAGATATTACTCTATAAAAAAATTAAAAAAAACCTAAATACACTGTAAACAGAGGTCAGGCAAATCAAAACCATAAGAAACACGTTTTATTTTTATTTTCTTATTGTAAACTTTTATTTTTCTTCATTTGTTTAAATGGAAAACGTCATTTTAAACTACGCGGTAAAATTTTCCTATACTCACGTCCATGTGAAAACGAAACGCAGATAGGACGCGTTTAAACTCGTTTCTTTGTCGCATGGTTCAAAATGCGAATAAACGAGTTTGAATTAATGATCGTAGCCAAACGCATCTAAGATAAAAACACGTTTTGTTAAAGATTGATATAGAACGCGTCAAAATGCATTCAATGAGGCTCACACTCTTGAAAACACGTCTGAACACGTTTTAAAATGCATTTGAGAAATAATTTTCGTCAATAATAACTAAGAAATCTCAAAGCAAAATTGAAATTGATCCGATTTTTGAAAATGAAATATTTCAAGATTGGTCGTTGATGCTTTGTGATGATCACAAAGTGTTGGTAATTCAACTTAGTTATTTAGAATTTAATTTATATGAAGATTTATTTTATGAGATATAAATCAATGTAGGAATCTAATACATTATTTTAGATAAAACGGCAAAATAATTTCTTTCGTCGTTTTATTGAAAGTAAACTATTTCTTAGCCGCAATCCAAATAGCATGTGTTGTGTTACAGTCTAATTTAGATCTCTTCATGTCTGTGAGAGTTTCATCGAAACCGACTCGTGTGATAATAGTAGACGAGATCATGAAACGATGTTATGCCAACATGAGAAATAAAACCTATAAGTTTTGTAAAATGATATTTATTATTAAAATGAATAGTTTTTCTGCGTATGATGTTTTATTCAAAATAAAATTTAGCCGTTCATATATTGAGATAAACAAAATGAAACAGATAATAATGTTACTATATTAGTAAAGGAATCTATTGTAGTTCAATTTTGAATAATTTCCTTTTTACGTAACAATAAGAACATTGACGAAAATAAATCAATTTTCATGTATATATTTCCTTCTTGTCCTATTTAGTTATTTCGTTTTCGGTAAGACAATATTTTCAACTGTTATTATGTGAATCAAGTTCATTAATCACTTTGATATAAAAGGAAAAGTTAAGAAATAAATTGAATTAATATTTTTAAAGAAAATGATTTAATTTTATCATTTTCCTGAGCAGGACAAAACCAAATTTAAAATTAAATAAATCAAAAATTAAATTTTCATATCGAAACCAAAAGATGACCACTTCTATGAATTAATCTTACTCACACATAAAACATAATGAACACCTATGTTGCCTTATCACTTATGGAGGTATTTATTGTATAAAATTAGAACACAGTTATTTATTTTCATACAGTTAACTTTTGTTTAGCTTTGAGAAAAATGCTTGAATGCTTTCATTTTAATTTAAAACGTAAGATTTTCTTATTTTTGATTTTTTTAAATAATTTGTTTTAATTATTGTCATTTAACATTAACATCAAGAATATATTATTATTTTTATTTTAAATTTCCTTTTCTTCTTTATGTGTTTCGTTTGATCACACTCAAATGTTAGAATTACTTTAGATAATCAAAAGATATTTCGAAATATCAAATTATCAAGTCAATGTAGACCATTGATTTAAGCATGTTGACTTATAACCATAGCTCTTCCGTTCTAGCCTCGATCACTGCACAATTTAAAACGCGTACGAAAAATGAAAAGACTTGTTCTGATAATGCATCAGGGATGAGCTGACCGTCATGTGGTCTTAATGTTGACGTAGTTCGAATCTACGAGAACACGAAAACTTTTTTCCAAAAAATAATTCCAAACGCGTTTTGACGCGTCAGATGTTTCATTTTGGCCGCGCCCAAACGTGTTTCACTGATAGCATTTGAAACGCAGCTATAACGCGTTCAAAAACGCGTTCAGAGGTGAAAAATTTTCATATGGGCAAACATATCGAAATAATAATCATTCAAGAGTTTATCGAAATTCAGCAAATTGGTCTTAACTATCAACAAGCTAATCTTATCAATCTATATCGAAACAAGTTTTACGCTATTAAACTCTGTTGGCATGCATGCATGCATTGTAATCATTCACATATCTATATATGCCATGTAATACAAAGTATAATCAATACATTTGAAACGACGTTTTTGTTATATTGAGATCTTCAACATTTTAATAAATGAACAATTTTGTTCGTATTAGTTTTCATACTTTTTTATTTGATTAATCTGACTTTTTATCATTGTAATTAATATGCTTCTATCGACAGTTTGTCTAAATGTAACATCCAAATTTGATACTAAAATAATTATAATTATTCGATAAATTTAATTATAATAGTTTATCTGAAATATTATCCTCTGAAAAATGTTTTTGGAAGCTACACATAATTAAATGAAAACTTTTGCAAAGAAATATTTCCTAACTCTAATTTAATCCACATTTCACACAAATGTTTCTTTCTATAGTAGTTTACGAAAAAAGAATTTCTTTTTTTTCTTGAATCAGTCGTTGACTCGAACATTGACGTTCATTACAAATATCCCTTATAAATGATTGAAGAGAATCAGAATTTCATGTAGTTCAATTTTTGTACTTTGCTCAGAAGCACATTTAGCTGAAAACCATCGAAATCTCTTGAAATTTTTCCAAATTACAATGAAATTTGAACAATGGCGAAATTCCGATTGGCCAAATTCCAGAGACTTGCTATGGAACAACATCGATGAACCGTTTGCTAAAGATAGAATTCATGCTCAACGAAGAGATCAGTATAGTTTACTTACTGCAACTAATATTGCCTATAAATGAGTCGTTTTGATGATTTATTTAGAAGAAGAGTGTGGGTGTCGATAAACAGTGGGTGTTCATTTAGACTGACACCGACACCTTCATAGTGACAGCAATAGACCCCAGAAAACAACAGGATTAACATATCATCATCTTGTATAGCTTTATATTCGTTTAAAGAAAAAAAGATCTGCTATTTATATATAATTTATTCAAGGAAATCATAGATGTGCATTTTTTGCTGTCGTTTCTAACTATCTGTTGACTAGTGCGAACACAATTTGTCAGTAGTTTAAAGTATGCATTTATGAAATGATCAAAAAATGGATTATTCATCTTGCTTGAGATGTAATGTCAGAGTTAATTAATCCGTATTCAGTTCTTCTTTCTTTTGTCTTTCAAAAATAACAACATGTGATAAGTATGGAGAAGTCAATATCAGTATTTCGATTGTCCAGGTGAGCTTTCGTGATCTGTGCAAATTGCTGCAAGGTTGTTGCTGAGAGGATGTTCGATTGTGTCGGTCAGTGTTTTTATTGAGGTGAAGTGTGCAGTGTCAACTAGATCTGATGCAATTGCAATTTTTTTTCGGCTTCTTTTCGACGATCGTTTATTTCTTGGTTTGTTAGAGAAGCGCTTTCGTACGAGTCGAATGATAGGTATGATCGTCAGTTTCAAGGTCAAGAATGCAAGTTCGAATAAGTCCAGGCATAACACTAAAATGAATATGTACACATATGTATTTCTACTCTACGATCCATTACAACTAAAATCTTACTTGCAAATAGAATTGTGCTAAAAATGATCTCATAGTGACGAGCAATAGGTTCTTGTGTATTTTTCATATAGAACTCAGATTCAGTTATTACTACAACCAGAATAGTTTTGTCAGGTACATAACGAAGATATTCAGCATCTAGCGAGAAGAGTAGTTCATCCGTGAGAGTATCGACAATGAAAGAAGGTAACCAAAGGCCTGTGTATGTTGTATTATTAGAAATCATCAAGCTGGCAGTTTGATTGATTACTTTGGTCATTTTGATGTTTACTGTAGGATTTCTTGTTAGAGTTTGATTTGGAGTGAAGAAGAATTGGCAAGTGTCCATTTGTTGAACCTTTGAATGAGCACTGATATTTGTAGCCGAAGGTGCTGAAAAACAGAGACGAAGTCCACCGATAAAATATGGCCCATTTAAGGTCAATTTCAAATTGATAATATGCTGTGGTAATAGTTTGGAAATGGTCAATATTTTTTTAGTCTCCGAACAGCTGAAATTTGTGGATGGAATGTGAAGTCCGCGATCTCGAATTTGTAGCAGTGATACATTTTTGCATGTATAATCTGTGCTAATGAATTGAACAGTCATAGTGATGTTTTGCTTGCTGAGCAAGTCAAATATTGGCTTCTCATCTTCATGTTTGAGTGTCGATAGTAACTGTAATGAACTGGTGAGTTTAGCATTGAACAGTGAATCATCGCATGATACACCTTGTCGTTCATTCAATGATGTTTCTTCGATTGGATACAAATAACTAAATGATATGCTGAACTTGCAAGCAAATATGATAAGAACGAGTAGTGATAATGATATCAGTCCACCCAACCAGTACTTTCCTTCGCCGATCACATCACAATGAGACAAGATTTTTTCAAGAAATCGTTGTGTTTTTTTAGATTTCGAACGGCATGAAAGAATTTTGATAATAATAAAAATGATAAGAGAACCACCGATCGCAACACATGTCCAGAATATGGGTGAAAGCAAAAGACAATGTACTGTTATGATGGACAATTGAAAAATATTCTGAAGAAGTATATCATCAAATTCTGTCGCATAAGGTGACTCTGGATAAGGATTCGCCTGATCGTAACTGGTGATGTTCGTCACATCAATTTCATGAATAGCAGCACCAAAACACCATGATGTATGATTTGTCGCACATCTGACGCATATCTCTCCAGCACTACCATCATTTTTCCAACCAGGCGGACATATCACACAAGGTCCAAAACTTCTATTGACTTGATGAGTACCTGGTATACAGGGTTTCGGTTTGTATACTGCTATATCATCATATTCCTCTATTAATGCACTACAGTGACCTGGAGGACTTGAAGGAATAAGAAGAACACTGGGAGCATCAAGAACAAGACCAACAATTTGAGAATTCCATACCACTAGATTAACGATACGGTGAGGCAGTTGCTGCAAATTCATTGGCTTCAATTGTTGTTGATTATTTGGAAATACGTAGAGTAACTGTGGTTTGACTTCTGTCTCATTGAGATAGTAGACCTGTGTACGAACAAATCCGATCACAATAGATATTGTTCTCATTCATTTGAAAAAAAAAGGGTTTTCAATTGAAATAGTATATGCGCACAAATAAACAAAGCCAAAACTAAATCATGGGATGAAGTAACAAACTGCAAACCTATCATAGTATTCTTGAGGTTTTTAAATACGACTAGAGTAAAAATAAAATTTGGCTGGAGTAGAAAACTATAGTCAACTTCGACCTCAGTCTTGACTAGTTCCCATCTCCGTCAAGTTTAGTCTCTGTCAAATTTCTAATACATAATGAAAATAAGTCGAATTAACAATTATTTGTGTAAATTTTGATTTGCATTTCAGCTATAAGAAAGTGTTAGTTTTGGAAAGAATAACTCGCACTCATCGGGGAATCAATTTTTTGTAAATATATCTTTCTACGAATCATGTAAGACTGAATACGCAAATGATATATGTTCACGGTACGATCTATCGTACATTCGACATAACGAAGCACATTTTGATCAAGTCTCAAGAAGTAGCAGACCACTTAATAGTCTTTGAGAACGGGAAACGGAAGATGAAATCTACGAACAGAATTTAACGATTAGTGCAAAGCTTATTTGAAGCTACGAATCCTATGTAGCATGAAGAAATAAATCAATAGACTTGCCTGCATTTGAGACGATGACCAAGGTGGAGTAGGCAATGAATAGACTAATACTGCGTACGTATTCGAGTCGAGCATTGCAACTGATTTGCCGAATAAAACGTTTTTTTGAGATGAAGTGTGATTTTTAACAATATGTGGTGACTCTTGTTGCAGAGACACAATGAAAACACTATCCAAATGTGGAATGCCAATAATCATCGTATTTGACTGTTCATGAAGAGAAAGTGACAAAGTGCCATATCGCGTGTTCATATATAGTGGCCATCTAAAATTTTTTGATGAAAGTGGTATCATTCCAAGTGATATCGGATTAGATGAATCGGAAAGATCAGCATAATACAAATAGGGAATATGTCTATTGTCGTCGTCAAATATTCGATAGGCTAGTAATAACAAACGATGGTCTTCTGTAATGACGAGTGCTCGGCTATTGAAAAACTGACCTTTATCCCAAAGAACGGTATTAGAAATTTCAATGCTTGTCTTATGAATGATGTCAAGACACACTGTTTCAAAGAAGCGTACAATACATGCATATGTACCTTGTGGATGAATACCAAGAGCAAAGACTTGGAAGTCGTCAAACGAGTTCACCGCTCTCCATAGAAATTGTGCCGATCGATTAGCACAAAAAGAAGGATATGTTATGAATGTTACTACTAAATAAATATTCTTGTCTTGATCTTCGCCGGTCACAGCAAATACAAGATGACTTTTGTTTTGCTTGGTACTTATGACTATGTTATACACGTAATTGAGAGATTTTGTGGTTTCATTGGGCATGTGCAGGTCTGGATAAGCAATGATGCACGTATTGAGATAAGATGAAGACAGTTTTTCTATTATTGTAAATTGTCGATACCCATTCTCCGCCACAATGGCCAGTTTTTCACTGACAGCTAATCGATCTCCAAATGCGTCATAATCTTCTCGGTCGAATACTTCTGGTCCCTTACCACAAATCATTGGTAGCGTAAATAGAATAACGAACAGATTGCACATTCTTGCGTATTTTGTCCAGTTTAATAATTGTTTACCATTCACCTACACAGAAAAAATCTACAATCAAACATTTTACTAATCAAGATGGAAACTATTATAATCGATCACAATCCTATAGACTTATTTATTAATATTTGAGGTCTTAAAAGTTTTATCATAGCTCGGATCAAACAATCAAATTGAGAGTCTTTCGGTTGCTGAAAGCATTGGAAAGGTGACGTTCTTCGTTCATAGGCCAATCTATTTATAGTTTTACAACCTCGTAATTTATTGCTTTTTGAAAAATCTGAGTGGCAACTAGTCATATAATTCACTAGAAGCAAAATACAATTATATATTATTTTGTCCAACTAATCATTGTGTGTTGAATGAAATTATAAGGTACAATTCGAAAAAAGAATCTCTTGCTCCCTTGTGATATGTTCTATCGATATCTTCAGTAAAATTAATACTAGATGTAGCTCTGAACAGAATATAAATGAACTACTCTTATATTTATCTATTCATTGAAAAAGCTTCGTAGAGATTGTATTGTTAACCTTGCTCTTGACTTCGACCAATTTATACTCAAAAAGTAAAGACAATTATTAGAAAAAGTGTTTTGCTTTTTCACCTGTTAAGATTGTTGCTAAACCAGAAATATGTTCTTGAATTCAATCATACTCAGTTTAACAAGCATGCATAGTTGTTTTAATAATGAGCTTGTTACGAAGAACTGTTTTTTTTTTTCTAGTGTTCATAATAGTGAGTTTACTGTATGTACAACTTAATAAAAAAATTGTGGACATGAAGATTCAATCAGAATGAGTTCTTTTGAGAAGAATTGTTTTGAAAGAAAGTAACATTGTGGTGGTACTAGTCTTAGGAAAGACTTGCATAATTTCAATAAAAATTATTCTTTTTCGTATTATTCTCTTACCTGTATTAGTTGATTTTTGCGTGACGAATAAAATGCTGACATATACATTACTCATACGTACATACATAATGGAACTCATATCTAAGATAAATATTTGATATATTTTCACAAAAGCCCTCATTTTCGAGATGAGAGCTGCGTCATGATTGGTGGCAGTCGAATGATCACATTGTCATATTCCACCATCGTGATCAAGTATTTATAGCCCTATGTTTATCAACAGTGTTCATGTATTGTTGCAATCGTATTCATATACTTTTTTTCTGAACATCAAAATGTAAATATGTTGTGATACTTGAGTAATCCCACTTATTAAAGCCAGAATTTATTGGATTGGTAGCTATCACAACGATGCTGTTGATATTACTGTATTTCACTTTTCATTCAACTGTTTACTCTGAACATGACAAAAATAGAAAAAGATACCAAATGATGAATGTGTCTTCTTGCTTCACTGATTGATTGATTGAATCGAACAATATTATGTTTAGTTAGAAAACCATAAATAAACTGTAGTAGATAGAAACCAGTAACCGAACAAATGATAATGCTGCGTTTAAGATAGGAAGCTCATCTTTGGCGATGCCAAAGTGTGGTCGAAAAGAAAAATACCGAACAAAAGAGAAAGCATAATACTGTCAAGGAATGTTCGTTCTGTTTTTTCAGTTTTACATTCTATTCCTTGCCAGAAATCATAATTGTTTTTTGAATAAGAACAAAACTGTTGGCGAATAAAAGACATCGATGAATGACTCAATCTACTAGGATATCACATCTCTATCCTATAATTTATTCTTTTACCGCGAAATAGGCTTAGCCGATAAGAATTTCAAATGCATTAGCAAGATTACAACGTTGTTTTTTTGGTCAGAATTGTGATACGACTTTGTACAACTGCCAGTTTATAGTGTTTTCTCTATATGTCAATAAGAGTGTGAGTGTTCGTATTCTCTTCTCTCATAGTCATACACACATCCACATATTCACTCCCACACCTTCGATCAATGCAAGAATGTGAAAATTTCAAAGTTCAGCAATAAACTAGCTCTTCTTATAGTATAGCTTTTTAAGTTTAGCCCCTTTGGTTGTAAGTGAAACTTAAACATTTTCATTACTAAACTGAACAGAAAGTAAGTTCTCTTTAAAACAATATATTCTGTATTATACTAAAATCTGAAACAATTATATATATATATTGATGAAATATGTACGCGAACAAATCTCAAGCATCGCCGTGTCAAGTGATCGTTAATAAATATGTATGTGTGTTTTGTAATCGATACGTGACTTGTTATTTCTTGATATTTTACCTATCACAACGGCGACTAAAATAAGAATAATATTATGTTGTGCATGCCTTTGCATATTTTGTTTTGCTTGCATAAGTGCAGAAAACTTTTGAGACAGCGATCAGTCACAGAATTCGATATATTTTTTGCAAACATATTATTCAAATAAACAATCATGTATTTCCCTTTAAGTACTCAACAGTTCATGGCATTTTCAATGTGTTCAGATTTGCTCGAGAGGTCACGTAAATGAGTATCACAAGAAGAGAGAAAGATTTAGAATTTCACTTGTTTATCAAGTGTTGAAGAAAAGTAATGTCAATGCTCGATTTTCTTTTATTCAAATTGATAATCTGATAGGGAATGAAAAACTTAAATATGTATATATGTACTTAACAGAGTAGCTAGCACAATACGAACGAACTGCATGAATGTAGGTTAGAATCCAATTGAGCTTCTTGATTTTGCCCACATTTTTATTTTCACGCCAGCACTGCCACATGTACCCTATTTTGCCTTTTTGCATGCTAGTAAAAAATTGTACTTCTGAGGTATACATTTTGTACCTTATTGAAGTTTCGAACTTCTTTTGGCATAAACTAGTCTTTTAATAAAACAAGTTGTTCTCTTTGGTTTACTATTTCTAACATATGACACTGATACAAGTAATTTAGCTTTAGTTTCCTACTGAATAGATAATAATACTTAACTCCATTCTGAGTTCAGTAGCAACGATGAAATACCGATATATGAAGAGTCAGACTCATAAACAAAATCCGTTGCTGTAGAATCGTGTAGCTCTAGTCAAAAATCAATCACAATTATCAAAGAAAAAAGTTTCATGTCAAAGTCCAGAGTATAGACGAAAACAAGACCCACAGCCTATATTAGGAAATTCCTTTAAATCACACCCTTGGATTTAGGGAAGTACTTCATTTTATTCAATTCAAGTACAAGCAAATGAAGGAATAGTTCCCTGAGTTTAATTATGTGTGATACTACCCATGAAAAAAAGTTATAAAAAGAACGGTGAGAAACACGTCCTGAAGACGCTTTTTGCATTCTATTGGAACGTGTTCTATAGAACGCAAAAAGCGTCTTCAGAATCTGTTTCAAAAGAACGCATACAAATGTCTGCAGAACGCATTTTATTATTTGAAAAACTCGTTTTTGACCGTTCTTT